ATACTTCAATGACTTTTTTTTTTTTCCCCTCTCTCCATTTCCTTCTGCATAGATCTAACAATGCTTTTCTGTTTGCTTCCTTGTGCATAGATCAGTTCATCACTAAAGTCCTTCCAGGTCTAAGTGAACTGTAAGAGTGCTAGAGGATTTAGAGTGAGAAGGAGGAAGAGTAGAGCACAAACATTTTAGTGCATTTCTAAACAGCAACTAGACTAGACGACTAGATGAACACAATAGTGACATTTATATGCAACCCTTAGGTGTTTCAGTATCCCCTTCTATTGCCCAGTTAGTCAGAAGCAAGTAGAGAAAAATAAGCTGAAGACTAGATGAAGCTTTATTTATGATCGATTAAAGTTTGGGCATATACTATTCTTGTTATTTTCTTTCCCCTGCTTAGCATGAGTGTCAGGTTGAGAAAACTATTTTCTTTCTGTTAACTCACATGTGAGAAAACTTGGTCATACCATCTTCACTTTTGTAAATTATGTGCATCTTAATTATGGCAAAATATTGGCATAAAATAATTCCTGGAAAACACTAACACTTTCCCTTTAAAACTTTCTGAAGAATTCAAGTATAAGTATTGTTCTTTGTATCTTCAGCTCACAAGCATTAAGCAAATTTAGGTGAAGACCATTCCAACTGTGAAATACTCCTTACCGCTAGTTGTCAGATATTTAGGTATCTGAACATGTATCAAGACTGCACTTCATAGTGCAAGCAAAAGCGGTATGTAATTACTCTTACTTATTAACGACATCATAATTACAGAGTGGCAAAATAATCAGTCTTTCTAGGACCCACCACTTATCCTCTGTCAGTCAGAGCATGATAATCACATGGCAATCTGCTAAATGCAATTATTCAGCAATACACACTTAGTGCTAGCTATTACCATACTTGAAGCCATTTAAAGTCTATACAATACAGCACTTAACGTTAGTGAAGTACTTCTAAACACAAAGTAATCTTTATAACAACCCTCTAAAGAGAGAAAAAGCCTCCCTTTAGAAGAGTAGGGAGAGTAAATGAGGGGTGAAAGACTGGCCAGCACCGTATTTAGATGCCACTATAATACACCGGCTGAGGTGGAGCTCAGTACTGCACAAAAAAACCTCAAAACAGTGACTTAAATTGAAGGCTAGCCTTCACACTGGAAGACTGCATCAGCCTACTGCCCAGCCTAACATACTGTGTAGCAATGCTTCACCGATCAAACAAAAACACGACTCAGTTTTACACTGCTGACTTGGTGCATTCTTCTCTCCAATGACTTGGTTGCAAATGAAACTGCAGGTTGTATTAGAGTGACACAGCTAACCTAGTGTAACAGAACACCATCGAAATCTATTCCAGATAGTGCTGCAATCAACAGCTGAAAACTAGACCGAAACTCAAAATATCTTGGCTCTTGAGACCTGTCTGCACTCGCACACAATATACCTTAATTTTAATTCCTACACCCCCACATGACAACAAAGACAAGAGACCACTTCAGAAAGTTCTTCTGTTGGTTGAACAGGGATAGTAAAGTTGCTGGTCATTCAAAGGTTAACATTAGCTCAGTTTTAGAAAAGCAAATCTGAAAATGGAGCAGCATTGTTCACTCTGCTGTTCACACTTCCTGCACAACAGCACGGCCACCAAGTTGTAGGTTACACTATTTCAGGAGCCTATGGAAATACTCTTCTGAAGAGCAGCGAGTCACGTGAGATCTGAATGTTTAAAGTACTAAGACCATTTTGTTAGGCTTGCATGAAGAGAGCTCTCGCAAATTCCCTGGTTCCTTCCCATGCTAAACAGCCCCCAGTGTTAGCAATTCTCCAGCTCCCTATTCCATGACAGATTCTGTCTCAGGTCTTTACTATTAGGCAAGTCCCAAATCACCTCTTGCAACCCTAATCTCTAGCAATCAGAAAACACAGCCAGAAGAGACCTCAAGAGGCCATCCAGGCCCTATCCTTACCTCTAGGAAGGATCATATGTCACTCCTGACAGATATTTGTTTAATCTGTTCTTAAAAGCCTCCGGTGATGGAGATTCCACAACTTCCCAAGGCAACGTATTCAGTGCTCAACTATCTCTGCTGCTAGAACTTTATCTCAATGTTTAACGTTTATCTCCAATTAAACATTGTTTCTTGTCCCATTCAGTACAGATACGGAGAACAATTACCCCCCCACTTGCAACAATGTTCTGCCTAACTGAAGACTTGTCTCCTCTCAAGTCCTCTCCAGATTAAGCCCCATTAACGGCAACCTCTTTATTTCCCCGTAGGTTCCAACCTCACCCTCATGTAAGCCATGCAAACTGCTGTCAGGCATCTACACAATTCCTAACAACCCTTTTCAACCAAGGTGTGCCAGGAGGAAAATCCAAGCCTTGTTTTGTTCTCCTTACCCCTGCTCTTCTATTTCTGACTTTACTTACACTTCACAAATGCACTTAGCCTATCCACTCAAGAAACCTCACAGGAGAATTCTCTTCTAGTGCTGCTGTGACTGATGCATAGGACAGCAACATCACAAAAAGCACATTCTAGGCAGCATTTTAGATTAAGCCCTCTAGTATCACACACAGTAGTTTATTGTCTCTTCCTCCAGGACAGCTCTTCACTAGACTTGCCTATTCAAGTCTGGTATTCAGTATCCCAACACCCACAGTCTCCAAAGGTTTCACTCACTGCTATATTTGATATCTAAAACCTGTTAGGTAAACCCTAACATCTCAGCTGCAACTGTTTAAGAAAGCAATGTGATTTGCATATAGGAGTCATACCTGAATACAGTGCATACGCGTTTCACTTTTCCAGATTCATTTCAGTGCATAGCTCAGTTGCTGTTTTGAATTGTTTTTAATGTTAGAAGTAGCAGCCATTATTAGTTTTAATCTCAAGGAACTTTAGATTTTAACCTTAGCTAGTATCTCTTCAAAGATTTTGTACGTCTCATGATATTATTTTCAAATTCAGTTACACCATAAAAACTCATGTCAGACTGCCCTCTCCTGGTAAGCCAACATACTGCTATCACAAGAAGATTCAACCCAAGTAACTATTGCCATTCTGTTTCCAAATCTAACATTTTGATTGTGATAAAAAAGCAAACCCAAAATAAAACATCAAGGAGGCTGTTTTGATAACTTCAGTAGTGTTTCTAAAGCAGCGTAAGATGGACAGCATTTAAGCAGTGAAGTTTCTTTCAAGTTGCCTTAGAACGAGTTCTTGTCTTGGGAAAAACTGATGATGTCTGTAGAGAAAAGTAAAACATGCATAAAAATGAAACTGTTCTGTTTGCTTTTAAGCTTTATGAAAGCAGCCAAGTACATAAAGTATTTTATTCCACATCAATAATGTTAAAAACAAGGTCACAGAAGAGATCATTTTCAACAGAAAGCTATTTTCTTCAAGCTGGCACAGGTATTTCACTAGGGCTGAAACAGAAGAGTGTGAAGAAGCAACAGCAAATGTTTAAGTAGACCACCTAGCTTTTTATTATGTTGTTCAAACTAGGCAAATGAAAACAGTAAGATGACAGGTCAACTACTGAATAATATGCATTGTCTTTAGTACACATACACCAAAGACTGGAAGTGTCCAGAAATGCAATATAGCTTTATTGTATGATGAATGTTTCACTTGCCCTAGCCAATTTCTTTTTTAAAAATTAATGTTATAAAGATTTAAAAGCTTTTTTTTTTTTTTTAGATGACCAACCTTCACACCAGAGAAGCACAATTCACTAACACAAAATTTCATCTTCCTTATAGGAACTCTACCCCTGCTTGTGCCCATAAAGTAAAGCAAAGTTTTTTCAGAAGATGGTAACAGCTTCCCCACCTTCTACTCCTCCCTTTCAAGCCAGAAGTGATTTCTTTCTTATTTGCAGAGAATCTCAAGGGGTTTTTTTAGGACATTTTTGAAATCTGGAAGAAAATTTGTGCAGATTTCAAAAGCGATTTATAAGGAATGATCAAGCACATCAACACTTCAAGCAATTCTAGCTGAAAGGGCATAGTTTAACTACTAAAGACAAATTCACTTTTTATCTACTTCAATTAAACTTCAAAAATATAACAAAATCTTAAGCTTGAATCCTGTTCTTTCAAAAAAAAGGAAAACATGGATCAGTATCAACACCCAATCATCTAAAAAGTAACTTGTCACCACAGACCATATTTTTAAACCATAAAATTTGTTCCTCTTAAAACAGCCGAGTCACACGTTTGCTGACACGTCTCCGTTTAGCAGCTTCATACATTGATTGTGCATTTGAGAGCAGAGCAAATGTAGCAAGATGGTCTACTAAACACATCCAGCCTAATAATCACAACTAAGTTTCAAGGGCAAAAATCCACACTACTGTGCAGGTACCACAACTGTAAACATACTCATCTAAACACAAGAAAATCCCAGACTGTGATAACATGCATACAAATGCATGCATAAACATTACTTAAATTTTGTACATTGTCTTACTGCTGTATCTTGCAACAAAATTCACTGGCCCCTAGAGCAATCCTTCCAACTGAGAAAGATTAGTCTTTGCCCTCTTGAAATGACTGAACTTGGTGTTGCAGAGAAAGTCAGTCATTTGTCAAGTTTTTTTTAATATTAGCAGTGTTTAATTGCTATTGCTCTATAGACAACAGTAAAGCATGAAAATATGTAAGCAACGATGTAGACTACAATAAAGAGGTGATGCCAAATTCAGTTCATCATGGGAGAAAAGGTTTTTTTATCCTCTTGATTACCTGCCGTGACTGTCTACCAGACCAATGCTCTGAGCCAAGCTAGGTCTTCCACGCAGTTCTAATCTTCAAGCATTTTAGGCATCAAGACAAGTAAAATCAGTTCTAAGTTATCCGGAAAATGAGTAAGGAAATAATAAGGAAGGACATATAAGCGGGACAGAGAAGAAAACAGCACTTAAGAGAGAGAACATAAGAATCTAATACTGACCTTCACTTTAGAAAATCAAGAGGTAGCTGAAACCTTGCTAAATGTCAGAGTTATTTTCAAGAGGTATTTCTGCTTCTTCAGAGTGGTTTTGGTTACTTCTGTCCTTCCTGTATACAGAATTTGTTATGCTGCTTTTCCAGGTCCGAGGCCTAGTTCTTGTTTCTTGAGGTGTGTATACGCACATGCTTTTCCTCCTCCATCTTTTGCAAGGACCACCAGCAAGATCAACAGAGCCAGTGTTCTCCTTCCCTGGTGCTGAAAACTGGATGAGATTTTGTTCTCTATGGTGAATATTCTCAGATTCTTTAAGGATGGATGTGCTTATTGTTCTCCTGATTTTGCAAGCAGAAGCTAGCCTGGGAGGGCTCTTTTGAATCTCACTGGGTACTTGAACCCATGCAAGTCCTTCAATTTCTGCATCTTTATGTAATCTCATGCTTCGCCTCACTCTTCTTTCACCACTGTTACTGCTCTTTCTTCTAGAAGGCTCTAAGGAGTCATTTTTTAGCTGAGGAGCAGATAAGACTTCTTCCACATTTAAAAAAGGAACTGGAAGATTGTTTCCAGTTATTTCCAATTTTTCAACAGGAGGAAAATAGATTGCACTACTTCTTTTTCTTCTTGGCGGACTACCTCTTACAGAATCTTTCTCTGGACACTGAGTTCTTTGGGCACCCTCACATACAGTAGCATCCTGTTGTTCCAGAAATTCTAGCCCGGTTAGTCGCTCTGTCTCATTTAGGAGATTTCCTTGTAATTTCTCATTTTCTATCAAGGAACGACTTTCTTTTGCTTCTTTTATACATGCAGTCTCTTTATCTTGCTGGAAACAGTCAGATGTATCAAACACACACTTTGCATCTGGCACAATATTTGAAAACTGAGGGAGGCGGGGGAGGCGGGGCGGGGGGGGGGGAAAGAGAAAAAAACAAAATTGTTTTGTTTTTAAATATAGGCAAAAGGTAATCCACAAGAAACTGGTTTCAAACAGCTGACAACTAAACAACTGCTACTCTTTTCCTCACCAAGTTTAGTCATTCTCAAAAAACCCCAACCAACCAACCCAGAGTCCTGTATGTCGGAATCTGCTCCAATGTGGGGCCAAACTTATGTTGCTTGTGGCCTTGTTCAGTGGAGTTCTGAATACCTCCTTCCAAGGACAGAGATGATTCCATGGCCTCTCCAGGCAGCCTGTTCCAATGTTTAATCACTCTCAGAGTTAGGTCTTTTCTTCCCCCAAAACATTACTTTTTTGATCTAACAACATCAAGCACAATTCTGACTTATTTTCTAGCAGTATCCTCATGCATATCAGTTACCTTACGATCGCTGCCAGGAACAGACTTCAGGTCACCATCTGCCACCTGAAACACTGTATTGCTGGAGCTGCTGGCTGCTACAATGCCCAGGTCCTTCGGGCTTGAATATGTATGAACTGCACAGGTGTCTTCTGCTCTCATTCTTTCAGCCACTGGCTTCTGTTGAACATCCTTGCGAGCATTCCTGGGTTTGGCATTACCTAAAAATACACCTGCTGAATTAGAATAAACACGTCGTTATTTGACTCTACTTGTGAGTGTACAAAGTCTTTTTTTTAATATTACAATAAAAGCTTTATAGTATTTTACTTCCATAAAAATAACCTTCTAAACAACCATTCCAGATTATTAGTAAAAAAAAAAAAAAAAAAAGGGGAAAAAAACCCCAACAGAAAGCTACTGCACATCCCTTAACTATCCATGCCCAACTTACCAGTTTTAAAGACTATGAAAATACCAGTATCCAGTCAAAGTACAGACAGCCTTTTTCTTTTTTTTTTTTTAAATCAGCTTTACGCTGGAGTCCAACAAGAGTTAAATTTATCCAGTTGGAGATTATTAATCTATTATATCATCTGGGCTCTACTATTACAGAAGCAATTAAAAGTAAAAAATGTATACTGGGCTCTTTACCTATGCACAGGACTCAAGATAACTATCAATAGTTTTTTTTATGTAACTGTTGAAATAAAAAATTACAAGCAGCACAAAGAGCAAGGCAGAACACCACTAAAAACCGCATTACCTGAAAAAAATGCATTTGCCTCTGGTGAGTTTGGAGATGAGGCAAAAGAGAAAGCCTCTGGAATTTCAGGGATAGGGCTGAGAAGAGGTTTCTTAGAAGCCATCTCTCTTTCCCCATATAAAGATTTTTTTACTTTTTTCTTTCTTCTTTTCCCATAGCCTGTACGTTTTGTTTTCTGAAAAGATTGAGAAGACTGAATAGCGCACAATGTAATTATAATGAGCCTGTACAATATTTTCCAACAAACCAGTGACACCATTAATTGTTATTCATCAAAATCCAGTGTTTCCCCTAAAATGAAGGTTTCACTCGTTCTGACATCTGCAAATTAATCTAAAAACTCAAAACAAAGGAAAATTACTTCTCAAACATGAGATCCCATTTTTGTTTCATTTAACCGAATCTAGAAGTCAAAGAAATTAGTCTTTCAGCTCAAAACTACAGATTCTTCATTCATGCCCAGTTTGAAAAGGAACATGTGCTTTCCCTTGCAATACATGAAAGCAAAAATCTTTCAGAAGTCTCACTCTTTTACAATACTTAACTAGCATATAACTGGGCAAGTTCAAAGAACTACTACTGCATACTCTTGGTAAGAGAAGAACCATAAACTCATTTTCTGTCCCTGAAGTCTGAAAAGTGACACCCCCCTTCACCTCCATAAAGTATCTTTTTTGCCCTACAAGTATTTAAATGCTGCTAGTCAGCCTTAACAAGCAGTAAGAAAGAGGGGTGCGGCAGTAAGTGTAGGAAAACAAGATAGGCATGAAGAAAAAGAGTATTGGCAGCAACAGGAAACATAACACCCTTTAGAAAATCTTTAATACAAAGATCAAAATAATCACGTAAAACACACAAGAAAGAAGAGACACTCGGATAGAGAAATAAAGGCAGCATTCACCAACTGCAGTGGGCTGTCACTTACTTGTGTCTTTTTGGCAGCAGATGTGGTTATATTCTCTTGTTTTTGAAACTTGTTCTTTCTTGGATTTTTAGTGTCTTTAGCATTCTTAGTATTTGTGGCTCTTGAGATGCTAAAATCAGTCCCCTCTGAAATGGTGCTACACTGTTGAGGAACATGAATTTTAAGTTTTTGGGGTGCATGTGTACGTGCACATGCATCTCCTTGCGTTTTTTAGAAATACACCACTGTCCAACAGTCATAAGAATCACATTGTAATTAGTCACTGTTATTTCATTTATAAAGTCATAAGAGCTAGACACTCACAGATAGAAATTAAGATTTATAGAGCTAGTCTCTTCACACAGTACAATATAGTTCTATTTGCACAAAAAGGACATTCTAATGACAAAATAGCAAATTTTCATCCTCAGCTATTTCTTTCAAAGATGGGTTACTTTTCTTATATTACTTTTTTCTGCCTTCCCCTTCCGATAAAGCACGCTAGAACTGTACAACACTAAAGTCTGAAAGAACTTCTTGCAGAAATTGTTGTACAATAAATGTTATACACCTTAAAATTCCAGCAACCAGAAGAGATACACGTATGATATGCTGTCTGCCATACAGCTAGCAGACAAAAACGTTAACAAGACTGAAGATCTTTAGCACTGGATTTGGGAAGTGCCAAAAGATACCAAAAGATACCAAAAGTCATCACAAGTTGCAGAATAAATTTCACTTTATTAGCCTCTATCTATGTTCCTGTATCTCAAAGAAATTAAACCAAATAGAAAAATTAGCCAGAAAACTTTGCTTCCATTCTCCTCAATTTTCTGTGATTATAACTTTTTAGATTCCCATGAGTGAGGCCCTTGATCCTACGAATGAAAGTCTATGAATAAATCTGTTCTAAATTTTGTCAGACTAACTGAGAAAGTACCTGGAAAATTCAATAGAAATAGTAAATTTAAGTATCATGCTATAACCAAACACGTTTTTAGTAACTGGAAAACCACTTTCACTCAAAAATGAGATTTCCTTAAGACAATTACCTGCACTAACATGAATCATTTCCATATACCTGGATATATAAAATCCTCATACCCGAGGCTGTAAAAACTCTTATATGCATCAGGATAACAATTCTGCCTGAAGAAGTTTAAAAAGCCACGTGCAACAATCAAACGTCATCACTAAAGAAACCTACCTTCCTTTTAGTAGAAGAACGAGCTGTTATCATATCAGATTTGTCAGTTTCTGCTATTATGTAATGAAGAAAATAAGAATATTGAATCAGTTTCAACAGAAAAAGTTAATCACCTTTTGAGGAAATTATCCACATAATTTGTAACCTTATGCACAGCATATTTAGTCATCTTAGTCTTGAGTAATGTTTTCTGCATAAAGGACTATCAAACATGGCAAGATAAAAAAAAAAAACTTAACAGCTTGCTTTACAAAACAGAGGAAAACAAAACCTGCGAGGATTTGGTAAAATAATTAGCACTTACACAGCTTTCAGAGAGATACATACACACATGCACAACCCTCTTGTTGTTGTTGTTTTGCTTGATGTTTTAAAAACACCAAATTACAATATCAGAATCAAGACAGTAAGCCCAGTTACTTAAAGCAGTAAGTCTAACTAGATCAGCCACCTTCACAGAAAAATACCACAGGTCAAGTAACACCCAGTTAACCTAAACAACAGGTAAACACTGCAGCTACTGCAAAGACCTTTAGAAAAAAGCAAGAGCATTTAATTTTTAACACAATTGAAATATGTCCCCTGTATAGAAGCAAACAAACAAAAAACCCCTATGTCATCTCAGTTTTCAGATACAGAAAGATGCATTATCTAACGACAAAAACTGCAAGTTGGGGTTACCTTCTGCATTTTCAACAGGTAGGAGGCCTTGTGCAGCAACAGAACCCTCTGCTAATTCTTGAAGAGGCTCAACACATTCCTTTAAAAAAAAAAATTAAATCTTTTAGCAATATACTATACCAGATATATACTGAAAAACACCTTGTCCATTAGTGTTTGGAACAGCCAGGTGATTTTACTTTTTTCCCTTAAAGAATGCGGCAGCTCAACTGCTATATACGGCAAAAAGAAATACAGTATCAAAAGTATATGAATAAGCCAAGACAAAAACATTTCACGTGCTACCAGTACTCAACTTTAAACATAGCTCTACAGGACAAAATGCTATTGAGAATTCATAAAGCAAAAGTTCTCAATGTCATTCTAATGCTTCACGCAGACTGTATTTCAGTATTTTAGCAATTTATCTTCAAAACCAAGCAGACTGGAGAAAAAATTAAACATTCACAGAGACTAAGAGGCTGTTTTTATAGCTTTTTTAAAAAAACAACAACCAACTTACATCATTGCAATCAAAGTTCAGCTGGCATACTGGTTCTTCAGTGAGACTTAACCTTGCAAAAGGGCTATTACTTTGTGATCGGACTGGTGTTGCTCCTTTGCGCAATGGCGTATTTGCAGGCAAAGTTTCATCAAATATTTCTGGGCTTAGAGCTTCTCCAAAAGTAACTCTTTTCTTCTTTGGCTTTTCAGAGCTATGTTTTTCAGATTTCTCTACTGTAATAAAATACATAGACTGCTTAGTGAATTTGGAACTTTCATAGAGCAGAGACTTTCTTTTCAATGTCTTTTCATGGGTCTTAACATCCTCTCAAAAACCACCCCCCTGAACCAAGCAGCAAAATACCTTTACATGTCCGGTGGATTCAACCAGAATTTTCAGTGTAGCTTTATTACAGTATCAAGAATTAAAGAAGAAAGAAAATAGAAGACTAGAAATGAGCTGTTCCACAAGTTCCAGTTGACAAGCGTAAAGTTTCTTGAAAAACAGGCGATTCTATTCTGGTATTAAAGGCTTTCTGAATTTTTGGTGTGGGATTTTTTTTTTTTTTTAGTAGACACTATTTTCCTCGGCAACTCTATTTTCCACTTCACGCAGCAGAATGCCACACAAGAGCTATTTCAGTGGTGGTTAACGTGTATCATTCTTCAGATTTACCAAAGAGGCAAAACCTTATGATCTCACATAATACCCTGCCTATTTAAAAAACAAAAGGGGAATCTGACCTGTTTGCAATGCTTCAAAGATCTGTGCACAACTGGAGACTGTGAGAGATTCACCTCCTCCTCTGTCAACTGCATCGTTCAAGTATTCCTATCAAATTTAAGCGTACAATCATCTATTCAATACCATTTAATTAAAATATTGTCCTTGTTCAAAAATGAAAATGCAACATTTAATAACCAGTCCTATTGTTTAAAAAAACCTACTTGTTTTCTAAATGAATAAAACTCAACAACATACATACAGATCTTCTCATAATGTGAAAGCTTCAAACAAAGCTTCCAAGATGACCAAAGAGCAAACAGATATCCATTGATAGCATTAAATTATTTCTGATGCATGTCAATCAGTCAAAAAGTATCTTTAACCATGATTCAACTTCTGGCAGTTCAATAATGACTGCAAAAGTTCATCCTTAGTACCTCCACATAATTCAGTTAACCAACCTTCGTGATATCCACTACTTGTTTCATTGGCGTTTTCTTTAATACAGATCGCAGGTGGGAGCCACTCTGTGTATGTCCATTTAATGAAATATTTCCTGTTCGCAGTGGTGTGATAGGTGGCTCGCTTTCATCAAATATTTCCAGGCTTGGTTCTTCTGCAAAACTAGCTTGCTTTCTGCTTAGATCTGATATAACATTACTTCTGACGTCTTTAGTGATGTGGCTGGAACTGAAACCTTTAGAGCAAGAAGACAGATAACAACAGTTAAAGACTGAAGTACAATTGAGAAGACTCTAGTATTAGCAAAACTATTAACTATAAACGTACACATCTCAATAGATTCTGTGCACCAACATCACCTGGCACCTCAAAAAAAATCCATTTGTTTCTGAATTTCTGCTATTATTGTGCCACATTTACCTTTCATATTTTGAGAAATTTACAAAACATACAAAAGTCAAAAGGGAACACTGCATGAAGGAAATTTTTTGCATAAGGATTTCTCTCTCATCCATGTAAATTGGGGAAAAAAACCCCCACGTATTCTCTAATGTGGAGAGGGACTCTGTACATGAACATCCCCCTCCCCTTCGTAGGCATGAACTACTCAGCTACACTTTTCCCTAAAAATGGCCTGACTAACAAAATGCAGGAAAACTCTAAACAATTACTCCCGGCCTGTGTCTCCGTTTGAGCTTGCTTTTTCTATCAGAATGAAACTCTTAACATACCACCCAAGAGGCCCTACCCCACCTTCCAAATATCTGAGCTTCTCTCATAAAAGCTATTTCGTTCCTATGTGCTGTGCTTAAGTAAAAACATGTTTAATGCTATGCTGTACTGAACAAGCTCTGAATTGTTTTTAAACTCAGATTTGAGCCTCCTCAGCAGCACTTGTATAGATCGTTATTTGCAGTACCTTTTTTTTTGTTCCCCCATCAGCCTTTAGGTCAAAATTGTAACAAGTTTCTACTGCGTTAGAAGTTGTAGACAAGACGACAGACATGGGATGACTGCTTGTGAAACATTTCCTTACAAATATTCGAAGTATTTTTACTTTCTATAGCAACATAACAAAGATTATAATATCAATGAATCCCCTTACCATGGCTTGTTTCTAAGGTGTCTCTAATTAGAACAGCCTCCGACTCAATAGGATTGTGTTGCTCATAAGCCCACTCCTAGTGAAAAAGTTACAAGATTTTTTTTTTTTATTTTTAT